TAAGGTCATCTGATATTATGAACTTAGGGTGGTAAGGTTATGTGATATTATGACCCCAGCATGGTAAGTGTTTGTGATATTATGACCCTAGGATGGTAAGGGTATGTGATGTTATGGCCCTAGAGTGGTAAGGGTATGTGGTCTTATAAATTATGGTGGTAAGGGCTTGTTATCTTATGAACCTAGGGTGGTAAGGGTATGTGGTCTTATGAAATTGTGGTGGTAAGGGCTTGTTATCTTATGAACCTAGGGTGGTAAAGGTTTGTGATATTATGACCCTAGGGTGGTAAAGGTATGTGGTTTTATGAACCTAGGATGGTAAAGGCTTGTGATATTATGACCCAAGGATGGTAAGGGCTTGTTAACTTATGAACCTAGGGTAGTAAGGGTTTGTATGTTAGGAACCTAGGGTGGTAAGGGCTTGTAATCTTATCATCCTAGGGTGGTAAGGGCTTGTTATCTCATGACCCTAGGATGGTAAGGGCTTGTTATCTCATGACCCTAGGATGGTAAAGGTTTGTGATCTTTTGACCCTAAGGTGGTAAGGTTATGTGGCATTATGACTCTAGGGAGATAACGGATTGTGGTATTATGACCCTAGGGTGGTAAGGCCTTGTGATATTATGACCCTGAGGTGCTAAGGCCTTTTGAGGTTATGGCCCTAGGGTGGTAAGGGTATGTGGTCTTATGAACCTAGGGAGATAAGGGTATGTGGTATTATGACCCTAGGGTGGTAAAGGCTTGTGATATTATGATTCTGAGGTGCTAAGACCTTGTGATGTTATGGCCCTAGGGTGGTGGAGTCTTGTAATATTCTGACCCTAGGGTGGTAAGGGTATGTGGTCTTCTGAACCTTGGGTGGTAAGGGTATGTGCTATTATGACCCTATGGTGGTAAGGCCTTATGATGTTATGACCCTAGGGTGGTAAGGGTATGTGGTCTTATGAACCTAGTGTGGTAAGAGTATGCGATGTCAAGACACTAGGATGGTAAGGATAGGTGGTGTTATAACCCTAGGGTGGTCAGGGCATCTGATATGAACTTAGGGTGGTAAGGTTGTGTGATATTATGACATAAGCATGGTAAGTGCTTGTGATATTATGACCCAAGGATGCCAAGGCCTTGTGATGTTATGGCCCTAGGGTGGTAAGGGTATGCGGTCTTATAAATTATAGTGGTAAGGGCTTGTTATCTTATGAACCTAGGGTGGTAAGGGTATGTGGTCTTAGGAAATTATGGTGGTAGGGGCTTGTTATCTTATGAACCTAGGGTGGTAAAGGTTTGTGATATTATGAACCTAGGGCGGTAAGGCTATTTGATCTTTACCTAGGGTGGTAAGGGTATGTGGTCTTATGAACCTAGGGTGGTAAAGGTTTGTGATATTATGAACCTAGGGCGGTAAGGCTATTTGATCTTTACCAGGGTGGTAAGGGTATGTGGTCTTATGAACCTAGGGTGGTAAAGGTTTGTGATATTATGAGCCTAGGGTGGTAAGGGCTTGTATTATGACCCTAGGGAGATAAGGGTATGTGGTATTATGACCCTAAGGTGGCATGGGCTTATGGTATTATGATACTAGGGTGGTAAAGGTATGTGTTCTTATGAACATAGGGGGTAAGGGTTTGTGTTATTATGAACCTAGGGTGGTTCAAACGGCCAAAAGGTCATATTCCCTCACCACCTTAGGGTCATAAGATTAAAAACACTTTCCACCTTGAATAAGATAACAAACCCTTAACACCCTAGGGTCATCAGATGACTTATCCTTACCAACTTAGAGACCTCTTTTAAATAAATGCTTCGGATACAGCCTCTGTATGACCTCACCCTTACAATATAAACAATTCAACTTCTGTAAAAATGTAGAAAGATAATAACCTGTGGAAGACTCCCTGTAATGTAAATGAAATTGTAGAAAGATAATAACCTGTGGAAGACTCCTAGTAATGTAAATGAAATTGTAGAAAGATAATAACCTGTGGAAGACTCCTAGTAATGTAAATGAATTGTAGAAAGATAATAACCTGTGGAAGACCTCCAGTATTGTAAATGAAATTGTAGAAAGATAATATCCTGTGGAAGACTCCCTGTATTGTAAATGAAATTGTAGAAAGATAATAACCTGTGGAAGACCTCCAGTATCGTAAATGAAATTGTAGAAAGATAATATCCTGTTGAAGACTACCTGTATTGTAAATGAAATTGTAGAAAGATAATAACCTGTGGAAGACTACCTGTATTGTAAATGAAATTGTAGAAAGATAATAACCTGTGGAAGACTCCCTGTATTGGTAAATGAAATTGTAGAAAGATAATATCCTGTGGAAGACTCCCTGTATTGTAAATGAAATTGTAGAAAGATAATATCCTGTGGAAGACTCCCAGTATCGTAAATGAAATTGTAGAAAGATAATATCCTGTTGAAGACTCCCTGTATTGTAAATGGAATTGTAGAAAGATAATAACATGTGGAAGACTCCCTGTAATGTAAATGAAATTGTAGAAAGATAATAACCTGTGGAAGACCTCCTGTATCGTAAATGAAATTATAGAAAGATAATATCCTGTTGAAGACTCCCTGTATTGTAAATGGAATTGTAGAAAGATAATAACATGTGGAAGACTCCCTGTAATGTAAATGAAATTGTAGAAAGATAATAACCTGTGGAAGACCTCCTGTATCGTAAATGAAATTATAGAAAGATAATATCCTGTGGAAGACTCCCTGTATTGTAAATGGAATTGTAGAAAGATAATAACATGTGGAAGACTCCCTGTATTGTAAATGGAATTGTAGAAAGATAATAACCTGTGGAAGACTCCCTGTAATGTAAATGAAATTGTAGAAAGATAATAACCTGTGTATCGTAAATGAAATTGTAGAAAGATAATAACCTGTGGAAGACTCCCTGTATTTTAAATGAAATTGTAGAAAGATAATATCCTGTTGAAGACTCCCTGTATTGTAAATGGAATTGTAGAAATATAATAACATGTGGAAGACTCCCTGTAATGTAAATGAAATTGTAGAAAGATAATAACCTGTGGAAGACTCCCTGTATTGTAAATGAAATTGTAGAAAGATATAACCTGTGGAAGACTCCCTGTAATGTAAATGAAATTGTAGAAATATAATAACCTGTGGAAGACTCCCTGTAATGTAAATGAAATTGTAGAAAGATAATATCCTGTGGAAGACTCCCTGTAATGTAAATGAAATTGTAGAAAGATAATATCCTGTGGAAGACTCCCTGTATCGTAAATGAAATTGTAGAAAGATAATAACCTGTGGAAGACTCCCTGTATTGTAAATGAAATTGTAGAAAGATATAACCTGTGGAAGACTCCCTGTAATGTAAATGAAATTGTAGAAATATAATAACCTGTGGAAGACTCCCTGTATTGTAAATGAAATTGTAGAAATATAATAACCTGTGGAAGACTCCCTGTATTGTAAATGAAATTGTAGAAAGATATAACCTGTGGAAGACCTCCAGTAATGTAAATGAAATTGTAGAAATATAATAACCTGTGGAAGACTCCCTGTATTGTAAATGAAATTGTAGAAAGATATAACCTGTGGAAGACCTCCTGTATTGTAAATGAAATTGTAGAAATATAATAACCTGTGGAAGACTCCCTGTATTGTAAATGAAATTGAAGCACCATATTTAGATTTACAATTAAAAGTGAATTAAATTTTTATTTCCTTTTCAAATATACAAAGATTTAAAGAATAAAAAAAAAGATTTTAACATACAAGAATAACACAGATAAGATTCGGAACAAGTTCACAATACACACAATAGACCTATACCATCCTTTCTTTATCTCCCACAAGTTTATAATACTCAACAAAATGTTAAACTATTATGAACTTTGTCTTATACCTTAACTGCAATAGCCACTTTACTTGCATCACGGAATGGATTGTATGCCAATAAATAAAGCTAATAAGAGGCCTTGACAGCTATTATGTTTATTGTTAACATACTGTCTGTCGAGGATTTGATTGGCTGTATTCGCTAACATACAACCCAACCAATCACTGCATTCACAAATGATACAAGAAAGGTGGCTATTGTAGTCAAGGTATGAAACAGTGTGTTATAGCTTGCCATTGTGAAGATGGCTGATAATTTCCAAGACAATTTATTTGGTAAATTTCATCCGTCATTCATCCATTATTATCATCTAGAGATTGCAAAGTTTAAAACTCATCAAAAATAGCTCACGATCCTTCAAAACTCAAGATTCCAGGCAAAACTTTCGCACAAAACAATTTACATTCACAGCACTGAAAGTCATCTACTTATCTCCAGATCAGATGTAAAAAGAAGGTAAATCTCTCAGATCTCAAGATGAATAAATAAACAATCTGTAGCAGATATACATAGCAACATATGAACATAATTGTGATTATTGACTGAGGTCAATTGGCTGCTGATCAATTAAAAAATAGGGTTAAAGTGTTCGCTTAAAGTTACTCGAATGCTGAATTTTTTAAGACGTTATTCTGAAAGTAAAATCATTGGTGACCAATTGTACAAGATCTGATTACTAAAAGGTAAGAACTGTAGTAATTTGTCAGCAACCAATGTTCCAGAGGTATTACTATGAACATGTATAATATATATATACAGTTTTATAGAACAGTAATCTCTGGTTAGAGTTTTATTCAACATATCAACCTGTTTCTCCTGTCTTGTTGTTCTATAAAGCTATGACTATATATCATACATACAATTGCTAAATGCCATTTAGAGACTTAACAAACATTATCAATAAGAACAGTTATGTATATACAGGAACATTCACTTGGCACTTGATTTGAAAGCAGAAAGAATATGTTTATAATCACATACGAAATATTGTAAAACATCGAAATATTATACACACTCATTATTCTGACCTCTTAAAAAAATTACCAAGCACACTGAGTTAAAGAGTCAACTTTCACTGGATATTAAAGGGAATAACAGTTTGAATATTATTAGACCATGACTGAGTTATTACCTCTGTTGTTCGGTGTTCTTTCATTCAAAAAGTCCCTCAATTGTTAAATTCATGCTGTTGTTTTTTTGTCACAATAACAGCCACACAAGGAATGCAATAAAGAGACAAGCAATAGAGGGATTAAGAATATAATATAGGACAAAGATAAATATGCACATGCAGGGACATTCCAATTTGGACATGTACTCTGTTTTTCCAGGTAGAAATAGAAGTTATGTTTACAACATAGTTATATTATGTACTACTCCTGTAGCTATTTCTTCTACCACAAAATAAAGTGGTCTGCTCTAGCATTAATGTCCCTGATAAAGAATAGTCCATTTTATTTTGATGTTAAAGGTGTTTGTAATCAATATGGATACATTTCGGACTCTAACCGAAAACAAAATACTCAGTTTACATAAATATCTTTGTCTGATAATACCACCTAAAATATCTGAGAGAAATTCAACAATGACAACTACATAAAAACATTTATTATATTTGTTCTCCAATAGCTGAGTGTAAAATATGAACATTTTCTTTGAGATATTCTATCCACATTGCTTCATAAGAAGTATGAGAATATTAGAACAGAGATATCTAGGTACCATTCATAACATAAATATAAACAATCTTTTAGTAGAATAAGTAGTAATCAATGCAATGTATGTTGTTTATGCTTCTGCATTTATTACATACTAAGATCTTAGCCATTGGGAAGATCTCCTTATAAATTGTATTGTTTATGTTGTTAATCATTTTATTTGATAACGTTACCTGTATGTGTTCCGAAACTTAGTATGTAATAAATGCTGAAGTATAGTATATCTATATATCTTAGTGTTTTAATACAATGTATGTTTTGTTGACTATTTATTTCTACCTACAAATAAAGTGAACTGTTTTTATTTATCTAAAATAATACTCGGGTGCGCTTAATAATTTGCTTGACTTTATAATAAATTTCAGTTTCTGTTTTCATATCTCTAGCTCTCTGTAATAATTGTATTCAGAAATATTTCAACAGTGACAAAAATTTTGGCAGTTTAACCCACAACCGAACAAAATTCACTTCATACCAACAAGCATGTTTAAAAAAATCCACGTCCAAATTTTACACAGCATATCTCTTTTAGATATCAATATCACAGTGGCATTTTACATTTGAGAAAATACATCATATTGGGGAACAAACATTCGAAAATTACGGTCAAATACTTGAAATACAGGCCTGTATTCTCGAACCAATCTTAGCGCTAGGATGTCCTAGAATCAATGTTAGAAGATAAGAACCTAGCACATCCTATCGCTAAGATCGTTTCGAGAATACAGGGCCTGGTCTTCTGAACAATCAACTTGAAGTATCCTTAATGAATTATCTATAGCTAATAAGGCAATACAAAGTATAGTATAATACAATCACAAGGGCAGTATCAATTTAATATCCATCAATGCTGTTCAGAGATCTAGAAGCTCAAACTTAGTAATATTATTTTTTGTTGCGATAATGATAATTTATTCGGCCAATCTTTAAAAACATACAGATGCTAGTGGGATACCTCTTCAATTTCTGATAATCTGCTCAATTCTTTTCCTTCTAACTTTCTCAAATTATGAAACTTACAGGTACCATTTTGGAATACAAGCAAGGGTCTAACTTGTGCAGATTTTTTCGTGTCTTTGATGTAGGCAGTCTATATTGTGATTAATGCAAGATAATTAAAAGATATATACAGGAAGAATATAACATGTTATTAACCAGATGTCTGTCTTGTACATGCTATATAAATCAACATAATACAATTATACAACCTTATATACAAACTTTATATTCACATAACACAAAAGACATATAGAAAGTTATACACAATCAAGGTCTTGTTGTTAGAAACATGGTAATTTCACGATAATCGTTAACGTACTAGAGGCTCTGATTGGTTGATATCACTGAGAAAATATTGACCAATCAGAATGGTGAAAATTACAAGATACAGGCAGACTGTTTCAATAACAACATGTCATGGTCAATTTAATCATAATTGTACCGTAATAAGAACACTGATTGGTTGATACTAACGTTGAAATTTGATTGACCAATCAGATTCTAGAAGTTATCTAGTAGAGAATCAAAAACAATATATCTCATATTTATGTTTAAAATCGTTCCTGAATGTGTGTAAAATTCTTGTCAAACTACATTACACTATAATCCTTGTTAAACATTTAGAAGTATCACAGCACATTAAGAAGTCTATATCCATAGCACTGTTCTTTCTTAATCTACATCACACTACATTACAAAGACTATAATAATGTACAGTTGCGTAGCATACATTTAACATATTCTTAAAGGGATTGTAAACAGGTTTTCAATTTGCACCATACCAATTTTCAATGAGACGTTTGGTCTGTGGTTCCTGTAATTCCATAGAAACTTAGAGTTTGATGACTTCACTTATCACATAGTATGTTTGTATCACAAAAGGCCATTCTCAATTAGTGATGTCATCAAACACTTTATTTTAGAGGAATTGCAGGAACCACAGATGTCTAATTGAAAATTGGAATGGTGCGAATTTATGCTATCAGTGTCCCCGAAACACATAAAAAATTCAGAAAACCTCGTTACAATCCCTTTAATTCCATAAACACTATATCATGTAATAAAGTTCATAAAGAAAAGCTCATATTTGACCAGAATATCTCATTAGCACAAATACCAAAATCATAAACAAACATGGGAATGATCAATTCTTAGTTAGAAAATTCCATTCTTTTACCAGCTGATAGAGCTCAGTTTCAGCTACCTGTATTCCTTTTCAGAATGTCATTCAAGCAACCGATAGCACTTTAATGACAGTCCAAATTGCTTAGGCCTAATTAACGTGCTTGAAGGCTGATAAAAGCATTTTAAAAAGGAATACAGAGAGTAAAATTAAAATCAATGAGTCAGCAAACCAATATTTAGACAACCTTAATATAACATCTTCACAAAACAACAATCAATTCAACATTTGTCTCTCTTCATACATTCGCTTACACAGAAAAATAGGTCCCAATAATAAATAGTGAATAATCTTAAAATAGGGATCAGATACAAGATTTCTATAATATTCATGAGAGTAGAGGAGCTACATTTTAACATCATTTCCCATTCTTGGAGAGTTCAGTCTAATAAAATTTCACATCCTACTTTTCTGTTCCTGATTACCATGTGTAGATCAGTAACACTATGCAGTGTGCAATGAGGGAAATTTAGCAAAGACAACCATGTTAAAATGCTTGTTTAAAATTTTCCAAAGAAGCATTCAGAGATGTTGCTAATCGCTACATTTCAAATGTCAAAATTACCAGACCTTTTCATGAAATTTTGGACTGATGTAAAATGTATAGAAAACTATAGAAATCTTTTTATAACCCCATAAACTACATATAAACTAAGCTACAAGAAGAAACTATATTGTTTGAAAGAGATTCACTACATTTTGTCCTCTAATATCCCTGTGTAATATTAACTGTTATTTTACTACTGATATTAGTTACTAAAGGTAAAAATATAAATCATGACAAAATAAGTCAGCTCTAAAAATATTAAAACTACATCTGAATTGATCAACCAAGAGGCATAATCTGACAGATATTTCTTTTCTATTTCTGACCCAATACAAAAATATGAAACTTACCCCTTGTTTATAGGCATTCAGTCACCCAGAGGGTTATCTTAATATTAACAAGAGCTAGAAGTACTAGAGTATTTTTTACCCTTACCAGGTTTTATGAAAAGGTGTTTTGTTACCCAAATTAAATTTTATTACAATGAAATATTTCGATGCCTGTGGTATTATAGTTTGAGGACTACAGAGGGTGTTGTTGCCCTTATGCAGTTTTTTATTTGTGTTGTCTTCTCCATATATCTCATATTCAAAATATTCTTTAAATCCCAGCGGTTTCACTACCATTATTGATTTTTAGATTTGGTATTTCCCACTGAGATATTTCTACCCTCAAGAATTTTCTTTTCCACCAATAATATTTTGTAACCCTTTTTTACATTGGGTGATATTTGCCACTGGATAAAAGGGATGCCTATAAACAAGGTTTTATAACAATATAACTAATTAATTCATTCCTAATTGCTTCCTGATTTGTTCATAAACAACATAACTGATACTGACAGCCGGGGCTACTTTCAAGAAGTTGGGGGCTATACCACGGTAGAATCCTAATGGACCATCAGTTTTTAATATTTTTTTACTCATCGTCATCAATGTGTCTTTTTCTGTTGCTGCTGGAAGAAAACAGGTTTGTTAAATTACAATAAATAGCATAGCATGTAGAGTCCAACATGAAAAGGATGCCAAATTGACAATCAAAATAGAATATTTAACCTATCCAAGATCTCTAATACAGATTCCAAGTTGAAAAAAAAAAATCAAAGTAGCATTATCATCAATGGTGTCTTTACATCACCCAGTCAAATTTCAAATTTATCAAAAATCGAGTATGCCCTATACCATCCTGTAAGCAGAAAATAATTTAGTGTCCTCTGGTTTATCAAATCAATATCTGTTTCTGAATGACAGGGTTTTTATTGAAAAGAAAAGGAAAACTTACAAGATTGTGCCTGTAGTCTGGTTCTAATCAAAGCTAAAGGATAACTAGCTAATTGTCCACAAGTAGAACTAACAGTACCACATCCTAATAACACAAATACTCCTGGATCTTTATCTTTATTCTTCTTCATATAAAACTTCTTTAATGTCTACAATAATATCACACAAATATCAAATAAAACTGCCGCCTACAAAATATCAAGACTGGCAATATTATGCAGTGTGCGATGAGGGAAATTAAGAAAGAATAGTGGCTTTCAGTCATCATTCAATTCTTACCTCAAAATCTGAGGGAAATTTTGTCAAGACAGTGGCATATATAACATACTTACTTTTCCAGATCTTAGCAATTTAGCAATAAGACAATTTTTTTTTTACCTCAATTCTTCGGCTTTGCTGACGATTGGCTCCTTTTGAAAAAGCTATCGATGCTTATCTTACCTCACCAGGATTGAATTAGAGAACAAAGACAATCAGGGCTCACCGATGATAAATATATAAAAAACACAAAAAAAGCTTACTTCATAAATAGCTAAATCTATACCAGCGTAGGGTATAATACCTATTAAATTAGGTATATAACCCCGATAAAAACTGCCAATTCCTTCTGCTTTTAAAATCTTCTTTGCACAATCAAATATACCATTATATTGACCAGTTCTTCTTAGAGCTAATCTTGTTTTTAATAACTGAAATTTTTAATTTACATTTTATGAAACATAATATATAATACATATAATGCCATTTTGAAATCTGTCTGCACCTATTTTTTACTGAACTGTTATAACTTGTTTTATCAATGAATCCCTAACATGTAGAAGTCACCCAACAATGATATGATTACCTCCATGGGATAAATAATAGTTTGTGATATAGCCCCAGCAGCAGACCCTGATACTAATCTTTCTAATACACCAATTTCATGTTTACCATCTCCTTTTATTAACGTTTTTATCTAAAAATAATAAATATACAAATAAATAGATAATACAATTTGAAAAATTCTCAATAAACAAAAAACAAATGACAGGAAACACATCCTCCATAATTCTTTATTTTTCTTTTATAGGCCATGGTTCGCCATTTTCACAAAAAACACAAAATTCCTTCAAAAAATCATTTCTATATATATATCTTTTCTATATCAGGCAAAGTCTCTGGACACAAATGGATTTGAAGACTCAAATTTGGACAGTGAGCTGTGATCGAACACGAAAACTGATTAGCTTAGGTAAAAAAGCTAAGGTACGATTGGTTAAACAGATGACGAATCTGTCCCTGTAGATAACAAAAATTAACAAATATTATCAAACCTACCTGTTCATATGCCATAAATTTCAGTGCTGATTCTGGTGCAATTTTGATAACATTCATAAAATTCCCTCGCCATAATGACCGATATCCACCTTCATCTAACATCTGTTTAAACCCAGATACGATACCTAAATTATGTTTCGACCCATGTACCTGAAATAACACTTTATTATGTTATAATTGTCATGAATATAAAATGAGGTAAAGAATATCAATTCAGTTTATGAATATTAATGTCATGAATATAAAATGAGGTAAAGAATATCAATTCAGTTTATGAATATTAATGTCATGAATATAAAATGAGGTAAAGAATATCAATTCAGTTGATAAAGTGCAACTTCGGGTCATCTCCAATACTTAGATATTCTGTGCAAGGTTAACAGTGTTCAGCTAAACAGTTGATTGCAACAATAACAATGATTAAGAACAAAGGTTTGTTGATTATTATTTCATTTGATTTGATATTCACTAAATTCTACTTAAACTTTACCATTTTTCATCAATCAATCTACTATTTATTCAACTCTGGAATTTCATCAAAATTTTGTGGAAAGAAATTATAAGTACATAATTTTCCGAACCTGTAATAAAACTTTTAATCTGTCTAGAGGAGCTGTGAAAGTACGCGAAACGGCTCCAGCACCACCGCCTGCTACCAACTGCCGCCACCATAATCCTGTTTTTAATTCTTTTTCTGTGAAATCATCTGGTATCATTCCATTTTCACCAATATCTATTATCTATAAATATAATCATAACAATACAACAATATTCACCTGGAACTTAAAATATACACTGTTAATGACAGTAAGAAGTAGAATGTATATTAGACTATAAGAACAAAAGGGATACATTGTCAGAAAATGTTTAAAAAAAAACATAGGAAGTACAACATTTTGAGAGTCCACAATATCAAAATTGGATCAAAGTTGACAAAGCCGGTTTCCTAATTCTTTCCATAAAAAGATGTTTTCATTTATTTGTGAATAAAGTATTGTTTACACTAAAAAAAATGTACATTCATAATAAAGAGATTGTCTTCATAAGCTTGTAAGTGAAGATTATCACTTATCATACTAGATAATAAGAGGAGGAATATGTTTCTAATAGATTATTTATTTCAGGGATAGTGATGAGTTATCCATCCATCTTATCATTACATCATCTTCATTCTATCAATACAAGCTAGATATTGAATATAATATCTCAGAATATCTACATGCCTTTATAACAAACCTTCAGTCTATTTACTGTTTGTTTACTAAATAAAGAGGAGGAAATGTTATTATGAATGAAAGTCATGCCATGACAGAACTACTGTCTGATAATTAGCTATAATTTCAGTGAAAATTCCTGTTATCACCCACCTGTCTGGTATGTAGCCCATTATCCGTCATTCTTAATTAATAATCAATTTAATCAGCACTAATTACAGATGAGGTCACTTTATAACTTAATAGAATCCACTAGGATTTAAAATACCTTCAGGCACATGTTTTAGACTATTCCAAGTGGAATCTGGGCCAATCTTAATATATCTTGACCTTTTGACCTTTCCTAGCATATGCTGATATTGTATTAAAGGTCGAACTAGACTAACCCATCTTCATGATGTAGGAAATCCATTCACAATGGAAAGGTAAATTATTTCAAATATTTTAGCTTATTTAGGTAATTTTTTGAAGGAAGAAATACCAGAGTTAGACAATAATTTTTTATGATATTCTTAGTCTAGTGTTTACATTATTGTTAAATCTAGTTCTAGGAGACTTAATACAAGGCTTTCACTAGACTACAAGCTCAGGGTTAAATTGAGATTACATAATTATAGTTTTGGCTAATCAAATTAAATTTTGATTCACATTTCTTTAGAATTTGGTAACCATTTAAAATGTTCCAGTAGTAACCCTTCAAATATAGCCTAAAATTTGATCTGCAGACTATTGTGATAAATTTAAATTTGGCTAATCAAAGGAAATATTGTCATGCGATGCTGCTTAAATTGAAGCCTGACTCCACTGTACTACAATGTTTATATTAATACATGAACATAGACTGATCATACAGGGTTTAAGCAGGTTTCAGACAAGCATTGTTATGGTTATATCCCAGGTATTTTAATCCATGATCATCACAAGCTTAATGACTAAAATCGATTAAATTATCCAATCAGATTACTGATTTTTTTCAAAATATAGTATTTTTATCTATTTGAAATAGTAAAAAGAAGACCCCAGGGTCCAAACATGTCATACAAATACCCCCTTGGGCCTGGGTATCTGAAAAGCTTTGATAATAATTTTAATATTGCTAATTAGTGTAGTCACCCTCAGTGATCGTTAAAATTTTTAGTTCAAATGTACTAACTTCTCATGATTTGAGCCATACCTTCGTTCATCTGATGTATGAAGAGATCCAAAAGTCCACAAAAAAAGAAAAACCTCTATTAAGAATATTAACTTACTGATGAATGTCTCCAGTAATGTAGGATATCTCTTATATCTACATCAGGATCAGTAGATAGTAGTAAATAATCCCTCCATTCATTCCAGTCAATATTTAATGTTCCATCTTTATCCATTCTGTAACAGAATAATACAGGTATTTTTACTCACCAGAGCCACTATTTTATGGGTAAGAATATTCCAGGAAAGATCAATCTTGAGAGGTTTGGCCAAGTACTATCTGGTAGAAAGAATTTATTGTAAACCTAAGCTATTATCCTCGTAAAAAAAATAGTTGTTCCTATCTTTCTTACCTTTTTAAGAGATTTTCTGCTTCTTTTTTGTCAATATTGACCCCCAGTTTCTGGAATGAAGCTTTGATTTCATTGGCGTCAATAATACCTGAAACAAATCATTATTATTAAAAATAATATGGTTGAGAGATTAAGAGTGGATCAACGAAAGCACAAGCCATGCAGGACCTCACACTAAATGTTTTATCAGTGTCCTAATTTCCTTGTTATAACCTCATTTCTATTCTACCCAGTTTGAAAATCTATTGTAAAATCTTAAGCTGCAAAAGTTAATTTGAATATAAATCAGCTATGAACGGACAGATTTGCCATTTTTGGGGTTGATATGGGTCTTGAATAAGATTATATATAAATAGTACTAGAAATTTATGATGATCGCAAACTAAGAAGTTTCTTTCTTATCGCTCTAAAATTGAACACTTAGCTTAAAAATTCTTGCTTCTGTGACTAAGGTACACTTCTTCAAACAGAAAACAACCCTGTCCCTTTCAATCAGTCCTGATCAGACTACATCTGTCACATAATCTTACTATAATTCTCTTGTAAATAGAGCTTACCATCTGAATTTGTATCAATCTTTTTAAAAAAGAGTTTTAGTGTCTGTTCATGTTCTGTTACGTATTTCACAAATTCTCGAAAATCTATCTGCCCATCATGATCTTCATCACATTTATCAAATATTTTCTGAAATTAACAACAACAAAATAATCATCAATCATTGACCAGTTTGTAAAACCACAATTTTCTAACAAAATTTTTTTTTTCATAACTCCAAGACAACCAAAGATCCTAGTTATTTCATTCAAATAAAAATGAATGGCAAAAAGGTGTAATGTTCATGCCCACACATGATTCAACCATGTATAACATGTGAAGAATGGCACTTAAAATATTCACTGGCAATTCTTTCTTAAAACAATCTGACAATTACCTGAGTATGAACTCTCTTCCAACATATTATAAATACATGTTTTGTTGGGGTTTTTTTTTGGAAACTAAGGGTCATTTTACCTAATTAGCACTTTGATATATCTACTTTATCTAAAAATAATTAGCCTCAAGAGAAATTGTGATATATTATCTATGTTTAAAATGAAATGAAATCTACTAATTTAATTAAAATAGGAAGAAAATATACCACTAAGGTTTGAGTTGGTTTGAAGAAACGTATTTCCATGTCCTGACAGTATCTGATCATAGATCACATCTATAGAATAATACCCAGAGACAATGAGGAGAAAATGAACTGTTAATGTAACTTGAGGAAAGATGTGAGTGTTTTTTAACAAGTTATCACCCTAGCTTGCTATCTATTGGCTGAATATAGCTTACTATGAGATCAGCCTGAGCACTAGTTATCACAACTCAATCACATAGCTCAGTTCATTCACAGATCTCTACAATCTGTTCTTGAAGGATACAATCAACTCATGTCATTGTTTGTTTAGTAGGCAACAGGAGCTATCAGTGGAAGGAAGGAAAGAGAGAGAGTTGACACAGGCCAGATAAGTCAATCCAAGAGATTATGTAGTGATTGAAAAATAACTCTTTAACAGAAGCCACTGGATCAGGATTAGAAAGTGTTTGAAGAGAGGACTATGTGCTATAAATACATGGTAAAACTGAGGTGTGATGGAGTCAAGGAAAGAATTAGGATAATCACAAACAGAAGACTGTGGTACCGGTACAAAATTCCAGTTATGCTGGTAGTCACACAGTATGATGTCTGAGTACAGTCTTTCATTAGGTAAGCATTTTTCTAATTCAGTTCTATGTATAGCTTAATCTATAACAATTACACACTGCCTAATGATTAAGAGCCATATAGGTTTGAATCCACCTCAACAACAGTTCTGATGGCCTGCTAGTTACACTAGTGTCGGTTTTCAGAAGGATAATAATTTACTATTACATCTGAATATTGTGCCCTCCCTCCCTTGTCACTATTAAGCACTTGAAAACATTTGGAAGTAAGGAATTGAAACAATTTTTAAAATCAGAAATAAATACACACAAGGCTTCTGTGTCATTTGTTATTAAAGGGGTTTAAGAATTAATCAGGTATCCAGTTAAAATGGTAACAAATTTTTATAGTCAAAACGGCAGCAGATCTGCCAAAACGGTAACAAGATATTTTGGTTAAAACGGTAGCAAAATAAAAATTTAATTAACAATAAAATAACTCATTAACCAATTTGAATTTGAACTAATTCTCAATCCCAGTTATGAAAACATTTTAAATATTATCAAAGCAATTATTGTAAAATACTGCCACATCAAGCTCACAACTTTCTCGTAAATAATTGGTACCAGTACTCACGACTGTTGATCAATAGAAATCTACCGACATACTAAGCAAATGGCTTCGTTCCAGTTGGGTATATATAACCTAAATATCTTTGGCAGATATGTTACCGGTTTTGACTATTACATTTTGTTACCATTTTGACTTGTTACTGTTGTTACTTGGTGTTGTTAACTGGTATCCATTAATCGTGCTGATACATCGCGATTATTTTCATCCAATGCAATGCATCGATAAGAAGGAAAGAATCGCGATTCATTGGAGAATGGTTGCAGCCCTACTTTTTATCATTGAACTTGTTGGCATAGCTAACTGCCTGGCAACTTAGCTTTTATACTTTCATCTAAATTTCAATATGATTATCATTTTTAACTGAATTGAAACATCCAACTCAATTAATGCTGTAAAAAGTCTATCACTAATAAAAACATTGTCTTTTTCATATAAAATGCCTAATTTTTAGCTACTATCCTCAACTAGGCCTACGTCATTATCTACAAAACAACTCAAAACTTCTTGGACCAATGCCAATGGTACCCTAATAAATATTATTATGTGTAGGTTGGCCCAAATTGGTCAAGGAGTGACTGCCCTATTTATTTCATGGGTTTATTTGAGTACAATCTATTTGGTATTTTAATTTCGTCATCATGTTCAATCAGGCATGAAAGTTTTTATTAGATATGCTGATCTGATTTTGGTAGCGATTAGTCATAGTGTGTTTTTACTGGTGCTGTGCGATTTTCATAGCAACTTTCAACTTTGATCGGTTTTGTCAATACCGTTCATCTAGAAAACAGAAAATAAAAGGTGTCACACAGGTCCACATAATGTCATTAACCCCAAAAACCGAGGGACAATCACCTTTGCGTGAGCTGGAGTAGTGTGAATGTCCATCGCTTTGAGAGCTTCGGTAAGATCGTCGAAATCAACTATTCCATTTTTATTCTTGTCGATTTTTTTGAATAGTTCCTTTAATTTCGTATCCTCTGTTATGGATCGTATAGCTTCCTCCTTCGAACGCGAATGTTTTTCTTGTCCTGGCATAGTGAATTCTTGAGGACTTGCCGCTAAATTTCGTCGTCTACTTCCATGGATTAATCGGCAGTACAGAGAAATAGAAATTACTAGCAGTTGATTGGGTAAAATTGGGGGTCAAGGACGATTCAGTTTATTTTAAAGTCTATGGGAGATAACTCCATTTTGTAAGATATGAATTACTTCCCTTTGACTATTTTAATATCGCACTCGGAGATTGTTCACTTCTGATCTGTAAGTAGACCTACACATGTTTTCATTTAAGAGAAACTAAATTCACTTAAATGATTAGTAGTAATTTTGATAAGTCGAGGATCGCAGTTTCTTCTGTTGTGGTTTTCCTATTTTCACAGGCAGTAAAATTAAAAAGGAAATTATGTAATGGCCTTACAAACTGCACAGGGCACATCAACCCAAAGGCAATCTCAGACTCAGTATTTTGTAGTTGATATTTCAGTTCATAAGAAAATAATTGCTAAGTTCAATTCAGTAAACAGTGTAGTCAGAGAGTAATAATGTTTATTTGGTGTTCAGAATTGTTAATTAAGTCTCCCTTAATCAGAGTCAGCATAGCTAGTTTCTATGATAATATATTTATCAATAGTGAAGACTATGTTAAAGGGATTGTAAAGAGGTTTACTCAATTTTTTTTTATGTGTATCAGGATTACTGATAGCATCAATTTGCATCATTCCAATTTTCAATCAGACGTCTGTGGTTCCTGAAATTCCACTAAAACTAAGTGTTTGATGACGTCACTAATCGCAAAATATGCTTTATCACATATGGACCTCCCGATTAAAAAATTGGAATGGGGCAAATTGATGCTATCAGTGTCTCCGATGCACGTACAAATAAGAAAACTTAAGGAAGCTTCTTTACAATCCCTTTAAATTATTTATGTATGGGAACTAAAACATTATTTCTATTGTGATATGATTATTAGAAAAATCACTCTACAGTTGATGTATTGAGCACTATTTTAACAGTGGTATTTCTATATCATTCTACAATTGATGTATTGAGCACTATTTTAACAGTGGTATTTCTATATTACTCTACAATTGAAGTATTGAGCACTATTTTAACAGTGATATTTCTATATCGCTCTACAATTGATGTATTGAGCACTATTTTAACAGTGGTATTTCTATATCACTCTACAATTGATGTATTGAGCACTATTTTAACAGTGGTATTTCTGTATCGCTCTACAATTGATGTATTGAGCACTATTTTAACAGTGGTATTTCTGTATCGCTCTACAATTGATGTATTGAGCACTATTTTAACAGTGGTATTTCTATATCACTCTACAATTGATGTATTGAGCACTATTTTAACAGTGGTATTTCTATATCACTCTACAATTGATGTATTGAGCACTATTTTAACAGTGGCATTTCTATATCACTCTACAATTGATGTATTGAACACTATTTTAACAGTGGTATTTCTATATCATTCTACAATTGATGTATTGAGCACTATTTTAACAGTGGTATTTCTATATTGTTCTACAATTGATGTATTGAGCACTATTTTAACAGTAGTATTTCTATATCACTCTACAATTGATGTATTGAGCACTATTTTAACAGTGGTATTTCTATATTGCTCTACAATTGATGTATTGATCACTATTTTAACAGTGGTATTTCTATATCACTCTAGAATTGATGTATTGAGCACTATTTTAACAGTGGTATTTCTATATCACTCTAGAATTGATGTATTGAGCACTATTTTAACAGTGGTATTTCTATATCACTCTAGAATTGATGTATTGAGCACTATTTTAACAGTGGTATTTCTATATCACTCTAGAATTGATGTATTGAGCACTATTTTAACAGTGGTATTTCTATATCACTCTAGAATTGATGTATTGAGCACTATTTTAACAGTGGTATTTCTATATCACTCTACAATTGATGTATTGAGCACTATTTTAACAGTGGTATTTCTATATCACTCTACAATTGATGTATTGAGCACTATTTTAACAGTGGTATTTCTATATCACTCTACAATTGATGTATTGAGCACTATTTTAACAGTGGTATTTCTATATCACTCTACAATTGATGTATTGAGCACTATTTTAACAGTGATATTTCTATATCACTATACAATTGATTTTACCAGTGATATATTTTATTATTGTGATGTGATTATTATGTTATCAGTTGTTCTATCAGGGAGTATTCACAATCTATAATAGAATAAATAATGCTACCTATTAATGCTACCTATTAATGTTAGTATACCAGTATTGATTAAAAAGATAAATAATGCTACATCATGGTCCAAAGACCACATTCCAAGCTCACAGTGAATATTGACAAACATTACATTAAGTACAATCTAGAAAGATAGTCTATAGGAAGCTGTAAGTGTTAGTAGAGTAGGCATAGCTACATGATAGTCTATAGGAAGCTACTTAGAGCTAGTATGCTGTATTGTACATCACTCTAATTAGGACATATTTAATAGGTAGGTCTAATACTTCTTATTTAGAAAGTTTAACAGTCAAAATATTTCGTTATTGAAGAAAATATATATATTAGTAAAGAATATACAATAATAAAATATTTTCATGGTTAAAATAATGAACCATCAATTGAAGAGCAATATAGAAATATGGATATAATAATATATACTATTTCTGACATTTATTAACTCAATGTTTCACATCCTCATACAAACAGTATCATCAAATTTTATTAAGAATTACAAGGATATTTCTGGCATTTATTAATTCTAACGTTTAGGTGAGTTGAACATTTGAAGTATAATTTGGATTGGTGCAAATACATCTATTAGATATGAAAGTTTAGGAAGGCTGCACATTTTCACTTAAAGGGAGTGTAAAGAGGTATACAAAATCTTTCATGTGTATCGGTGACACTGGTAGCATCAATTTGCACCATATCGATTTTCAATCTGTTGATGATGTTTGATGATGCACTAATTTGAAAATGGCCTTATGTGATAAAGCTTCCTTTGCGACATCATCAAGTGACATCATCAAGTGACATCATCAAACACTTAGTTTTTGTGGAATTTCGGGAACCACATACATCTGACTGAAAATCGGAATTATGTCAATTGATGCTATCAGTGTCCCTGATAGACATACGAAATTTTAAAAACCTCTTTACAATCTCTTTAATCAATATTTGGATTGGTGCAGCTCTTATTCAGTGCAGGTAGACAAGGCTTTAAATAGAAGATCTTCAGTAAACATCTTTGTTCTCTGTTTAGACTATTAATAGACATAGATACATGTATTTAACAAGGCAGGATGAAAATATTCAGCCAAAATTCTGAATTGAATTTTATCTGTCATTTCTTTAAAAAGAAAGAAAGAAACAACTATATTTTACAAGGATAACAACTTAGGTTCACAGTTAAGGATCCTTTTTACTAGCTGGTCTTAGGCCAAACCTTTTGACCAAACGCTCTAACTGACTGTGCTATAGAACCTTACTTTATCAGAGTGTCAGCATCATTTTCAGAGTGCTCAAGTGGTA